TTATATTCGTTCGATCAGTGTCTGATATTGATTTCCATAGTGCAGGATCGTTAGAGATTGGTATAGAAAGATCACTTTTATAAATTTGTTGGTCATTGTGACAATCAAGTACAAAATCCAACTGATCCTTTTTTAAATGTGATGATGTTTTTTGGGAGTCATTGATGTCATCGGCAAGAAAAAGTTTGTCGGAATTATGGTCTGGCAACTCATTAGAGTCATTGATACCAATCTCAATATCATTGAACTATAAAGAAGTATTAAACAGAATTATTCTAATTATTTTTTCATGAACGTCACAAGATTAAAAAATAGTTTAACTACCTGCTTGCATTTATCTTTGATTTTTGTCCAACGAACGCAATCTAAAAGCGTTCGTTTGTTTTTGCTTTCGTTTTTTTTTCCGAATCATTGCTCTTTTTCTCCCAGCAGCTCCAGACAGCTGTTTCAATCGTGGAGGTCTTTGATTATTCATGCTAAAACTTATGACGATATAAAGAATTTTAACTTTTTAAATTTTAAAAATTAAAAACTTTATAATACTTTGGTGTTATTAATTGCAGAGAAAAAGTCAGTACTTACAATTAAAATATCCACTGAAGATAAGTTTCTTGTCAAAGTATAGTCGGAACAAAATGCAGGCAAGTCAAAAACATACATATGCACAAAAGTATCCACAGGGACGCAAAGTTTAAGCAAAAATAAGTTAAACTATCAGAAGTCAGGCTTTTACAAACGTTAAATAAGAAAAAAAAATTTTTAACGCTTTTTATTCTATCATGCAAACAAAAGGCCAATGAAAACGCGTGCGTTCAAATGGATAATGAAAACCTTGTAAAGTAATAATTATCCTATTTTAAATGCAAACAAAGTTTAAAAGGAGAAAAAAATTAATACACAAAAATTGCTTAATCTTTAAATACGTTATCAGCTAAATTTTTTATCATTTCAATAATTTTTATTGAAATGATAAAAAATTTAGTAATTGAAGTAGTTTGCCCCGATGCCCGGGGCAAACTACTTCAATTGCTTTCCCCCCCTCCTCCTCTTGGCGGCCCTGTATATATATATATATAGGCTTTTACAGGAAGAGGTGCGATTTCAAGTCTTTATAATGACCACACAAGTTACATTTTGCTCTGACGGTTTGACCGCGGCTAATTCAAAAAACGTTTTAGAAATGCGCTAAATAAAAAATATTCTAAAAAAGTGAAATTAATTACATCAAAACTTTTTAACAAATGTTTTTATATGAGCGAAACGATTTTAAATAAATAACAATTTACTGAAAAAAAGTTTTTTTTTTTAAATATAATTGACAGTTGTATATATTTTTTTAATTTAAAACATATAAGTTGTTTAAGTGATCATTTCTAAAATAAATCTTATTAAAAAATAAAAAATTGTTTTGTTTTTATAAAAGATGATATTTTACGACTACAAAAGTCTCTTTAACGAATTAAATATAAGAATGATTCAAGTTAATGCATTTAAAAAGATAAACAAAATTTTGTTGAATAAAAAAAGTTTTAGAAAACCATTACTATTTAATAAGTTTGATCTTAAATGCTTTTATATTATCAAAACGCTTTCAATGGAGTAAAAAAAAACGCTTCTAATTAATTTACAAAAAAGTATTAATAAAATATTTTTTTATTTTATTTATATAGCTTTGTATTTTTTATGAGAAATATTTAACTTTTGAACATATTAAATAAATAAAAAATATATAAAAATGTTGAAACAAAGATAAAAAGGTTTTTTAATGCGTAAATTAAATAGACTAAGCATTTTAGTTTGATAAGTTTTGTTTTAGTTGCGTTATATATATATTTATTTTATTGTGATTTTGCTTTAACTAAGTATTTATTTTTATTTTCTCTTTCGTTAATATTTATTATTTTTAAAATTTTTTTTTTCAGATAAGTTTAGGTAAGTTTTTGTAGCGCGTTTTTAAATTTTAAAAAAATGCCGTGGTCAAATCGTTAAAACATTTTTTTTTTGCGTGGTCATATAAAGACGTGAAATCGCACGTCTTCCTGTAAAAGCCTGATATATATATATATATATATATATATATATATATATATATATATATATATATATATATATATATATATAATATATATATATATATATATATTTATATATATATATACAGTATGAGACAAAACATTTGCAACCAACATCGAACAATGCTAAAAAGTGTTGCTAATTTTACATGTCTTAAAAACGAAACGAACTATACTACCACAGTAAACAGTTCAGGAGTCTGGAGTCATAGCATGCCATGACATGAGCAATCAGCTGACATGTGACAGCACACAGGCAGAATTTCGTTGAAAAGTGCCATTTTGCAGCGGACAAAACAAGTGCAACTTTTTTAGTTTGTTTCATTTTTTTAAGTCTGGTCCGTGTCAACGTCATGGAGATTTTTTTATAATTAAGGGAAGTATCCAGAAGTTTCCAGAAGCATGCAGAAGCTTCCAGAAGCTTCCAGAAGAAGCATCCAAAAGTATCCAGAAACATTCAGAAGCATCCAGATGCATCCAGAAGTTTTCAGAAGCATCGAAAAGAAGCATCTAGAATCTTCCAGAATAGGTTCACACAGGTTTATTTTACTATACAAGAGACATGTAAACCGACATGTAATTCAATCAGCATATGGAAGTCAATCAGTCAGTATTATCAAGACAGTTTATCGAAGTGAGTTTTATCAAAGTGTTTTATCAAAGAACATCAATACAAGAAGTGAAATACAACAAGTGTTTCATTATATCAATACAGTCCACATCCAACCAAGACGTTGTGTTCCACAGAGCATTATTGTATCATCGCAACATAAATGTAACGCGGTAAGCCTTGAGAACCGTGATTATTTATTTTTATTATTTTTATGACTTCAAGTGCAAAAATGGCTTCCGACAGTCTTGGATTGGAACTAAGAAAGTAAATTATTGGCGATTACGTAAATGGAATGTCACAAAAAAGTATTTGTGATAAATATTGCGTGAAAAAATGGACCGTATCAAGACTATGTTCCAAATATCATTCTACGGGAAAGTTGGCAGCAGATAAAAAAGGTGGAAGACCGCGTTCTACCACTTCTAGAGAGGATTCTATGATTGTCAGATCCGTCAAGAAGGATCCCTGAATATCATCAGTCGAGATACAAAAGCAATTAGAGCTGCCTGTATTAAACCGAACAATCAGACGATGTGCTGTTGAAGCCGGATTGTTTTCTCCACGCCCTGCAAAGAAACCGCTGATTTCACTAAAGAACCAGAAGAAAAGACTCCTGTTTGCTACATCTCATATTGACTGGAATGTGCAGAAATGGCGAACTTTCCTGCTCAGTGATGAATCGAAGTTCAACATCATTGGGAGCGATGGCATTTGCCGTGTACGTCGACCAATCCGGAAAACACTTCGATTTACGTTACTGCCATAAGACCTTGAAGCATGGTGGAGGCAATGTAATGGTCTAGGGTTTTTTTTCTGCTAACGGTCTGGGTCCAATAAATCGAATCGATGGAATAATGAACCGTTTTATGTATAAAAATATCCTGAAAGATGTTATGTTACCTCATGCTGAATGAAATATGCCAATAAAATGGGTTTTTCAGCAAGACAATGATCCCAAACACACTGCAAAAATAGTCAAGCAGTGGTTTCAAGACAACCACCTATTGGTGATGGATTATCTACCTCAATCTCTGGATCTCAACCCTATCGAAAGCCTGTGGGAGATGGTCAACCGCAGAATTAATCGTGAAGGTGTTCGTAATAAGGATCAACTGTTTGAACAAATCTAAAAGGCCTGGGCAGCAATTCCACAAAGTTTCATCAATCACCTGATCGAATCTATGCCTTGAAGATACAAGGCTGTGATCGGCAACAAAAGATTCGCCACGAAATATTGATAGCGAAATACAGCTTGGTCAACATTTTGTGGAGTTGCACTTGTTTTGTCGAGAAGGAAATCAACTTTTTTTAATACTTTTGATTAATTTATTAATTTTTGTGTACAAATAATGAACTTTGTGATAAATAAAACTTGAAGAACGTTGTCTCTAAACAGTTACATAGTTATTTCTCTAAATTGAAAAAATGCCATACTTTTATACAAAGAAAGTATATTAGCATTATTTGGTTGCACTTGTTTTGTCCGATACTGTATATATGTATATATAACAAAAATACTAAAAATATTGAACAAAAAACCATTACCACCACCTGAAATTTTCATGGTCTTCAAAGTAACTTTTCATAAGTTGAATTGCAATTGACTTACAGTTGACCTACTGCAAAATTTACCAAACTTGCTTGCTCTTTGTGAGACTAATTTGGATTCGGTTGTTTTTTTTGAATCTCATTATTGATGGCAACTGTCTTTTGATTTGCAAATACTCCAATGGTCACATGCTTGGCTTGGGTGTATACTTAGGCATCAATTCAACTATTTGTCAAAAATCAGGTTTGAATCCTCTGAACATTCTTTTATGTGTTTCTGCTTAGCATCTCTTCACTTAACCCCTTTCCCATTACTCTTTATTGTGTTCCATCTTCTCAAGACTGCACACTTTTAGATGTAATTTCTAATCAAATTGACTTAGTTATTTCTCTTTATTCCTCTGCTAACATTTTTATTATTGGTGACTTAGATGCCCATCACACTGAATGGTTTATATTAATAATACTACTTAGTTTCTAAAAATTAAGTTTTAAAGTTACTTGTTATGTGTATAACTAATCTAAAATTTAAAAAAATTAAGTTTTAAAGTTACTTGTTATGTGTAAAACTAATCTAAAATTTAAAAATATGGGAAATGTATCATTTGCTTCAGTTTTATTTTTTCAAACTATTTCTCCAAGAATAATTCTTTGTAGCCGTAAAAAAATAGGCCCCCACAAAAAAATCCGATTGCACAATGACTATGTCTGTAGTAGAGAACGCTATGATTTAAAACGTTATTAATTTTTAATGATTTTTTTTTTAGAGTACTCCAAAGTTTGTAACAGATACCGCCTTGCCTTCATCTAGTACTGGATAATTTTAAAATAGGATTTTAAAATTGGAGGAAGCTGACAGAACTTTAAACAATGGGAAACAATGGGAATTTAAGCTTCTCGTAACGTTAGTTTCCAATTAAGTGCTACCATATGATTGTTAAAGTAACATTGCTCAGCATCAATTTTTGCTCTTTGAGTTTAGACACAACAATGTCCAATAAAACTTTTGTTGATACTACGCCCAATTTTTCTTGTACAGTAAATATTCCTTATTTTCGAATCGAATTTCTATGTAAGTTAAATATAGCAATTGTGTTTATTCCACGCAATATTTCATGCAGTTATATGTCAACATTTTATGTGTATGTGTGTGTGTTTATGTTCGTGAATCAGTGTGAATCTGTTGTGTAATTATTTCAGTTCCGAATCTCTCAACTAATACTGTAAGTTATACTTATATTTCAAAATATTTTTTTTTTAATTTTCATTATATTTTATTTTTTATTTTTCTACACACCATAATGGTGAAATTTTATTTTTAAAGGATTTTTCGAAATATTGTTTCTGATGAAACTCTATGTACATTCATGGTTTGATTCAAATACAAATAAATCTATAGTGGTTAGCAGTGTATGTATACATTTTAGTTTTAGCAATAGGAAAAAATTCTCCTGGAAAAAAGTCCTCAACCCGACCCTTTAACTCTGACATCTAAACCTTTCATTGAATGCGTCAACATTCACTGCACCTACCTCCTTGGCTTAGATTACGATTCGGGCCAATTTAATTGTTGTAAAAACAACAACAGAAACAATAACCATTTTTATTGTATTAATTTTTTTAGAAATAATATGATATACAGTTATCGTAATATTGTAATACAATAACAATAAATATTGTATAATAATTTATCTTTATATTACAATAACAATATCTAGGAAAAAATGTTGTGTGAAAAATTATAAATTTGTCCTGTCGTAATCTTGAAATAAGGTGCAACTAATATTTTATGATTTTTTTTAGGACTATTTGATATACTGAATAAAATAATTTATTATTGTCATTTTGCATATCAAACAGACAAATGATGCTTTGATTAGAGGTTAGGAACAAAAAAACAGACAAATAATTGCGATGATTAGAGGCTAGGAACAAAAAAACTCTTCAACTTCATCTCCTCCCCCTATCCCAAACGTGAGGGGCAACAACTTAAAATAAAATGTTTTATGTACTATTCTCAACTAGACTAATATTCATCGATAAAATATAAGTTTTGTAGTATTCTCTCAGCGTTGAAAAATTGTGACCATATTAAGTTTAAACCCCCCTCAATTTGAGGTTACAATTATTTTATCAACTTGTTGCCCTTCGCGTTTGGGGTGGGGTGGGGGTGATGAAGTTAAAGGGCTCTTTCGTTGGTTGTACTTAAAACCCGACCCGGCCCAACCTTAAAGCCGACTTTTCTTTATTTTTCTAAAAATCTTTGTTTTTGCAAAAGACATACATTTGTTTACCTTTTTATTGGTTAAAAGTTTAATATATATAAAAAATAGTATAATAAAGTAAGATAATAAAAAATAATATAATAAAGTAATATTTAAAAATGTAAATTTCTGATTTTTACAAAAAAATTATTTAGAGTGTCTATATTATAAAGTTGTACGGTTTTTATAGAAAGCCATGAGATAATTACTAAAACCAATAAGTAGATGTGTGGATTTAATACAAAACTTAAAAAATCATTTTAATTGTATCATCCAGAAAGTACTGAAACTAATAAAGGAAGGAAATTTGTTTAGAGTACAACAGAGACCATATGGAATTAAGCAATTTTTCATCATTGGGTATTTAGAAGTCAGTGTGGTTCCTTATGCCGTGGGTGACAACAATGCAAAAAAAGTGGTTGCCTCAATGAACCATTAGGAATTTAACGTAATTCCTTTAATAAATCTTTTCGCAATTTTCTCGCAATAACCCTTAACCCTAACGCAATTCCTCGCAATAACCCTTTACGTTTAAAACAACTACTGGATACTCTTAATTGGCAACACTCTTGATAAAACAGTAGGGTTTGCGGATTATCTTAATGAGAATTAGATATATGATATTATAGTCATCTGTTAAACATAATAGACTTGGAGTTTTTGACAAGGTTGCTTTTAATGCACCTCAACAACTTGATGGAAATAGTTGTGGAGTTTTTAAACTAATATTTGCAGGAGCTGTTACTAACAGTGTGAACATATTTTATATCCAAAAGCTGTGGCATTATACCGTTGATAAATTCGTGCTAGGCTTGTACAATGAATGTGCGCTAACGTTGATAACGAAAATAAATGTGACATTCTGTTTTGTGTTAAACCCCGTGGTGCTCGTTTAAAATGGTCACAATGCAATCAGTGAAATCGGTAGTGTCATAATGCCGGCGCGTCAGTCTTCTCGCACAACATTTTTATAAAGCCAATGCATTTGAACAAATAAATGATATGTTTCCAGTTTATATTATTAAAACTTTGCTTATTTTTGTAAAAAAAAATTTAAACAATAAATTTTTTTATCACTTGTGAATATAATATAATAATTATATAAGTTCGTTTATTAATATATAAAAAAAACTTTTTTTATCCTGGCTGGGTTTTAGGTTTTTGGACCGGGCCGGCTTTTAGGTTGAACCTTTTTCTCTCCCAGCCTCCAACCATTGGGATTTTTTGTAAAGCCTCGTTATTTGACATAAATATAAACATAAAAATGTTTGGAGTTAGATCCATGTCTGAAAGTTAGGTCAAACACTAAAAAATCCTGGATCCATCATTGAACATAAAGTATTATAAATTTTAAGTTCATAAACGTTTAAAACATTCATATCTGAATAAAGGTTTCGTATTTGAAAAACGATTTGAAAAATATTTTACATTGCATGTTTCTGATGCTGATAAAGACGTTGCAACTTATTTTTACCTGTACTTCCCCAGTCAATATTGGCATAGTTTATATAGCTATGAATAAATGAGTAGTGTAGTTGTTTTAAATTATTTTTATTTAAATAGTTTCTAGCATTATAAAGGGTACCAATATTTTTTGCAACTTTTTTTGATATATAATCAATATGAGTTTTCCATGACAAGTTTTCATCCAGATTATTAGGAAGGAACTTAATAAAGGAAACTCAGCGAAAGTTATGATAAGGAAACTTAAATTTCTACTCAAATCAAAAACAAAAGCTCTATATACGCTTTATTAAATCAAAGAAAGAACGTGATAAGCATAATTACTTAGAGCACAAACGTCTATATGAAAGAACAAAAAAAATAGCCAGAACTACATACTTAAAAAACAAGCTGTTAGAACTAAAAGGTAACTGGAAAAAAACGTGGGACACAATTAAAGAGATTCTTGGAAAACAAAAAATACGCAACAAAGTCTTACCAAGCGTGATTACTGAAGACGCCACACAGATGTAAAGACGGCACTCTGATGTAAAATCGGTGGCAACAAAATTTAATGAGTTTTTCGTAAATATTGGTCCAAACTTAGCCAGCAAAATTAAACACACTCCTGCACATTTCTTGAGCAATCTAATGAAGTCGGATAAAATCTTAGCATTTAAAAAACTCACTCATTTAAACTCACTCATTTAAAGAACTTGATTCAATAAAAAAAATTAAATATAAATAAAGCATTAGGCTATGATTCTATTTCATCAAGCATAATCAAAGACTGCTATGAACTTATTAAAGATATTTTATTAGATATTTTAACAAATCGCTTAAAACAGGTGTTTTTCCAGATAAAATAAAAGTTGCAATTATTACACCCATTTTTAAATCAGGAGATGAAAGTCTGGTTACAAATTATCGACCTATATTGGTATTACCTGTTTTTTCAAAAAATCCTCGAACGTATCATGTATAACAGGGTATTTGCATTTTTGTATGATAAAAATCTTCTTTATTATAACCAATATGATTTTCGATCAAATTATTCTACGGAACATGCACTTATGCAACTTGTTGAAGTTATCAGGGAGCATCTTCTCATAACAAATTCACCTTAGGTATATTCCTAGACTTGTCAAAAGCATTTGACACCATTAACCATCAGATTTTATTATAAAAACTAAAGTATTATAGAATAAGCCAAGAATACCATAAATGGTTTACCAGTTAATAACTAATTGAAAGCAGTTTATTTCTCTAAATGATGTCTTTCAGACAAACAAACTTAAAATATCATTCCTTAGCCTTCCACAAGGCTCCATCTTAGGTCCGCTGCTGTTCTTAATCTATGTCAACGATCTATATTAAGTATCAGTAATTGATGCTTTAATAGTAGATAATAGTAGATAATAGTAGACATAGTAATTGTTACTATGTCTACTATTATGTTTGCAGACGACACCGCTTTATTCTATTCTCACAGTAATATTATCTCTCTATTTCAAGTAGCAAATAATGAACTAGAACAAATATCAATCTGGCTTATCGCTAACAGCCTATCTTTAAACACTCATAAAACTAAGTTTTCCTTATTCCATTCTAAACAAAAGTTTCAATATATTTAAAAATCCTTACTAATGCTATATTTAAATAACATCAAAATTGAGCGCTCATTCACAAATAAATTACTTGGTATTTTAATAGACAAAAACTTATCCTGGAGAGATCATATTAAACATATTAGCAATAAAATCTCAAGAAGTATTGGCATCTTATATAAAACCAGACGAATCTTAGACAAATCTACACTAACTCAACTATATTTTGCATTCATAAATAGTTATTTATCTTATGGCAATATTGTTTGGGGTAGTACAAATAAATCTAAACTCGACTGTCTCCTTAAACAACAGAATCATGCAGCACGCATTATTCATTTTCAAAATCGCTTCACAAATGCTAAACCTCTTCTAAAAAGCATGAGGGCAATTGATATTTATGAATTAAATATTTTCAAAATTACACAATTTATGTTTCAACATCAGTCAAACAAAACGCCGAAGGTTTTCCAAAATATTTTCCCTAAAACATTAAACCGATACAACACGCGATCTACCGGAAGATTTAAAAACCTTTCCGTACATCAAAACTTACTTTGCCATTTCCTATCGTGGCCCAATGCTATGGAACCATTTTATAAGCCTGAGTGGCAAACCTAAAGAAGCCAATACCTCTCAAAAATTTAAAAAGAACATAATCGAACTTATTACTAATCAAGATTCTTTACATGATTTTTTCTAACAATACACTTTTACTTCCAATTTTTATTACCAAAGGTTACTCATGATAGGATTTTATCTTCTTCAAGTTCTCCGGTCTCGTAACTATTATAAATAATGAAATGTACTTGTATTTAATATTTTTAAATACTTTATCGGAAATTACCTTTAACTGTAAATGGTTGCCTGACAAAAATAAATAAAATAAAATAAAAAGTTATAAAAAGGCAAATCTTAAATAGTTATAAAAAAGCAAATCTTTTGCCAAAAGACGTTTTTTTTTTGTTAAAAAAACCTTACAAAAATTACAACCAAGAAGAAGATTCTACAGGGAAAAATCTATAAAAAAAGCAATCCTTTGAGAAGCAATCCTTTGAGAATCATTTTCAGATGAACCAATAGACCTACATATT